AGAATATGATCATATATTTTAACTTAAAAGTCAATACGTTCTTGTTTTGGAGGACCTACATATTGTAGCTATGTTCCCAAAAGAAACTGACTGTCCCGCAGCTTGTGTCCCATGACAAAGTTTATTTCCCTATTTCCCGGTGGAATTAAAGTTCAGTTTTTTWCACATTCGTGGCCATATTGTTTTTCCGAGAGACACAGAAGTCCCCGACAAATAGTCACCATCAATAAATGAAGTTTATCATATAATTATTTATGAAATACCTATATTTCTCCATTTCATAAAATTGATACTTTCACTAGTGAAAATAACACATACGAGGTTTCTCAATATAGTGGAAGTAAGAAAAAAAGCTATTTTACGACATAATTTGCTTTCATATCCAATTATATGATAAACAGAATATTACATGGTTGCTTGGAGATACGAATTTTATCTTCTCGTGTTGAAAATCTCGTGTTGAGAGATCTTTTCAAAACTCGAAGATAAAATCCGTATTTTCGCGTGCCCATGTAATATCCTCTATATCCTTAAAATTTAATCTCTTTTTGTCTAAAGGGGTAACACATTTTGCTCATGAAAGAATCTCCCTAAGAACACTAATGCGATGCCTATTTATTAATTCCGTCTTGGACGTCTGGTCATAATGTATAAACAACCAAAAGGTTTCAAAAATGTTTTTAATAGTTTGCAAATTGAAAATTGAGAGACTGGTACGTAGATCTCCATAATAAGCTATGGGAGGTTTGACCCCAAAAGAGACAGTATCATATCAATCTTATATCGGATTTGTTAAAAAACAGTTCAATCTGGCGAGATTGCAGAAATGAAATGACCTTTCAAATATGTGCGCTAAAAATATACACACGATTCATGCATGGCTCCCAAAACATATGACCGGGAATGTGTCGAGTTTCTACGGAGATTAGGGTTTGACCTCTGCCAGTCATGAAGTGCTATTTCTAAAATTCACTGCTACACTACTGTACATAAGTTGATTCAATGCTTCGATCAGTTTATTTCATAGCACGTTTTGGTTAATCTGATTTGTTTCTTCCATAATTATTAGGGAATACTTTCGAGCAAAARGGAGGCAAATTATTCGAAATAACTCGAACCACAGACAAATTCCTACCGGCTAGCCATTGCYAAGTAGCATATAGTGGTTTAAGTCGGATGTTTCCATGAAAATATATATACATATATCGATAGACTTTTTCCCGAATTTTTTTCAGTTTGTTTCTCGAATCAGCTTTCGATGACTCAAACATTCCGACGCCAAAATAAGGTCTCTTCTGCCTTCTGCTTCTCATATCCTCGGTTTGCAATGTACGTCACAGCGGCCACCTCTTCTACTTTCTTGAAAAAGAACATAGCATAGTATATTAGAGTGCTCACCCTGTGTTTGCACTCCATTCCATTTCATATAGTTAGCATGAAAATATGTGAATTATTTGATATCAAATGCCACACCCACCGATGCAAGTACTCTTTTTCTTAGCAGAAATTAAGAGCCCCCTATACAATTGCCTATATAAGAACTTGTGCAGGTTGACCTGGAAAAATCTAGGTTCTAACACTCGGTGTTTCACTGCAGCACACTTTCGAAATTCTGGTTGTATGATATTTTATACAAAAGAACTAGGACTGAGCCTCGTCTTCACTTCTTTTGTACCTGATTAGCCACTGAAATGTTGAAACACTACAAAGATTTCTGGTTGTATTTGTGAGTTTAGAGAGTTTTAGAATCACGTTTTCTCTAAACATCACATCCCGGGGGGTATTACCTCCCCAACTCGRGTGGGGGTGTGCCGCTTGACCCTCAAAACCCTTACCTTATCCCAGACTTGGAGCTCTGAAAAAGGGACCCTATCGAGCGGCACATACCCGTATAACAAATACAAGGAATCTCCCCCCCCCCCCCCCCCCCGGGCATCACATGTCAAAAGGAATCACGTGATTATTAACTCTCCGTTCTTTTGAGTTTGTATATAAATCAACTTTTCCTTTCGAAGCGTTTTTACGTTTGGTCGCAAAAGCCAATTTGGCGTTTGGCTTTCTTCTTCGTAACATGAATCCCTGTTTTGCAGTAGGCAATATGACGTCACAYTCTCTCTGCACGCACTTTATTAATGACGGACTCAAAAATGCGAAAGTTATTGATCAAATAATACATCTTCCCCAAGCTTTCAAAGAGGACGCAACAGAAAGCTCAAATAAGCTTTCTTTGTCGTGTAATAAACTATTGTGACTCGTTTTGCTAAGAGGGGTAATCCAAGATGATAGTATTCTATCCTCAATCACAGATGACTGATCCGGAAAACTACGATCCGGAAATCCTCATTTATTTGGCTAATGCCCAGTACTACAAAGATTTGCGTGCAGGATTTCGGTGTTATCATTTCTGTATAAAATACATAAATTACTAAGCTTAGACAATGCGGATGTGGTGTTTAGACAATGTCTCTATGTTAAATCGACAATCCTTTAATTCATACAATCGATAATAGGTTGAAGGTCATTCCAGAATTTTGGTAATTAAATCTGCTTTGTTTTTCCGTGACTCGTACTAACTGGAAGAACGGTGCTAGTTGACGCGAAGCTTCTAGGTATTTAGCCATGGGAAACCATTTTCTAATGGCTATTGCTCTAGTTGTCTTTGTGACTGGTGATGTGTCTTTGTCCCAAAGTAAGTGTGTTTTTGAATGTTATTGGTACGCYGGCCGTAGAAGACTACCATTGGTCTATTCTCATCCAAACAATAGAAGATATCTATTTGTTTATTGATTTTTTAGTTAGCAACATCTATTGCACCTATATACATACCTATTCAGCGTATAGAATTCCCATTGGCATATCTAAATAATGTACCAAGCCTTGATCATGTGAAATCTTACTTACTTACAGTATATCGACTATTTCGAGAGTATTTTGGAGACGTGGTCATTTAGATCGTCATGTGTTGCTGGCAGCTGCTTGGTTATACCTAACTAGCTGATTACKGTTATGCTCTCTTGTCCTCATTTTTATTGGGGGCGAGTTTCAAATTTTTATATTTTTTACATTGAAACTCTTTGCAGCAACCTAAGTGTCGCAGGGTATCATATGCACGCCTGCCGGTTACGMCAGACGTAAATGATAAAATTTGTTTTTTGTTGCCTTGCCATGCCACAAAAAACARCAAACTCGCACCAATTTATTTGGTTAGGTGAGTGGATTCTTATAAGCCACCTATGGTCGACCCTTTGAGCCATTAGGTTGCACAGAAGACAATCCTTCCCAGAAAACGTTGCATRCACATCATCTACATAGGTATATACGTTATGAAAAAAAAGGGTATATGTATTTGATACTATTTTCAATTGACTTCCACTTTTTCTTTTTTTATTTGAGTTTAGTCGACTTTATCAAAAATSAAGCACAGGAATGCAGTATTTCTGACGTACTACTAAATATTCAAATTGCAAACTATTTGTCTTTTATAACTGTGCAGTTAATTATCAATCAGTCACAGATTGATCGTTTTATTATATAAACGAGTCAATATGACCATCATTGAAAGGTCATTAGAGCTTAATCGCATCTGAGTCCGTGAGTAGTCATCTGCGTGGAACGTTTTTTTATGGGCCTGAAATACTTAAATAAGTCAATGTCAATGTATAAGAAATTCGATAGTTAAATATTTCAGATACAGAAAAGTACTTCACTACCCAAAATTTAATGATTATGCATAATCGGAATTATCATTATGACTTGAGAAGGGGGGGAGGGGTTCGGAGTGGAAAGGCCCGCTAAAATTGCATCGAACCCTGTGAAAAAACTCTCCCTTCAAAGACAAAGAAAAAAAATGTAGCCTTCTTTTGAATGGGGTAAAAAAATGTAACCCTCACAAAAAATGTATACATTAGATTATTCTTACGGGACGGACCATGCTGTTTTGAGGTGCGATTGGGCGAGGAGAGGGGGCAATTTTTTGCCTGACACACAAAGACTTTCATAAAGATATTCATTGCTTTTTTGCGGATTGTTGGTTGATCACACTCGTTAGACAAATTATAGTGAATGATTTTAGAATAGTGGTGGCAATGTTCAAATTAGACGTTGTTGCTAAGTTGAGTTGCATCAAGAGCCACTAGGCACAAAAATCAGACATATCTTGGCAAGCTCGAAAAATCGAATCTATTCAGATTTTCTGTATAGATAAGGTATGATTAGGTCACATTTGCTGTGTAATTGGTTTTTGAAAATATTTAATTGTTCGCAATTGCACTTAATAATGTCACATACTGGGACTTTGCGTGATAAATTTTTGATTGCTAAAAAAATAGCACTCAAAATAGCCAAACTTTCTGCCGAGTTCGTGTGAAATGTAAAATAGTTGTTTTCAAATTTTAAATTGTGGCTTTCTAAGTAACTCTTTCTTATTTATTTCGTTGATTTTCAGACCATTTAATTAAAAAGAAAATTTTCTGGAACTCGAAGTGTTTACATGAAATAAATAATCAAGCTGCCAATGTCAACGGCTAACTCGGAGATTGTAGGATGATTTTGTTTGCAAAAAATTAGCACAATGGATTAAATCCAAAGCAC